CATTTGCAACTCACAAAGTTTTGAACTTTGGAGCATTTTGGATTTTGAATTTTTGGAGAAAAGAGACTCAACCTGTACTACTGGTCAATGTCTGTATGGATAGTTTAAAACATTCCTTCTAGTTTATTTCTTCTTGATCAGGGTTAGCAATTTTCATTTTCTAAGAATATGCCTTTCATCTATTATTTTAAGGGTTTATGAGAAAAAACTTTGTTCAAAATATTTTCCTGGGTCATTTTATCTCTGCTTCCCCTACAGTTTGGTCTCCATTTTAAAATTTAATATTGTCTAAATTGGTGTTTGTAACTTTGTTTGAAAATTTGGCCACTATTTTGTCACAGTTATATGTCTAATAAATGATTTGGGAACATGGTGGTCATCTGTCTTTCCTTCATTTTCTATTATCTGCATTTCTGTTCTTTAACTTCCGTCTTTCATTTTCTTTGGCTTAGGCATTCTTGATTACTCTGTCTTGCCTTGTTTTGTTTCTGTTTCTTGTTATGGAGGCTTTTTTTCAAATAAAAGTATTTTACTTCATAAAATCCCACGTAAGTACTAATTTTGCTGTACCCTAATGTTTTTACAGAAGTGCTTTATTATCTAGTTTTAAATAATTTCTAACTTCTATATTTTTCTTTAAACTTTAAATTATATAGAAGTATTTTTTCTGCTTTAATTTCTAAATGCATATTTGTCTACCTTTTAATTACTGATTTCTGTTATTAAAGACTGTTGCGAAAAATCATAATTGGTGCAAAGCCAACTACTTAATATTTGTTAAATCCAGGAGCTTCATGACTAGTGTGGATGAATTTTCACAAGATGTGAAATTTATTTAAGAGTTATATGAATATCATTGCCCTGAGTTTGATCTTTGTAGTGTAAGATGTTAATGATTGAGGAAAACACTCATAAGTGAAAAATCTAAGAGGATTCTGCGTATTGTTTTTATTTTCCCATATATTGAAGGTCTTTAATTATTTCAAAATGAGAAGTTGGAAGTTGGAAAACACGGAACCTATTAACTCGGTGAAAATTTCCTGCTTCCTTCAAACCTGTAACCTCTCACGTGGTTTGTCTTTTCATTACCACCACATAATTTCAGAAGAGGAGGATTCATAACACACTGAGTTCTCCTTTGCACCTAGTGCAGGCAGAAAATGAGGGTCAGGTCCTAGGCGCGCTGGGGGAAGGCTGTGCACATGCGCAGGGACCCCCTCTGCGGCTACTACCGTACATCGTGCGGTGGGAATTTCACATCTCATAACCGGTTCCTAAGGAAAAGAACCTTTGGTTCGTAATGTCTTACGTACGTGTGTGAATTCATACGCCTTCACAAAAAGTACAGAAAATATATTGTACTGTTACAAATATTACCCTAACGGTAATGACGTAACCAATTTCTCCTACATAGTTTAAAATAGATTTTGAGACCTTATTCATTTACTTGTGAAAGATTATATTTCAGTGTTTATACTAAAGATGAAAATATGGGACAGAGGGAAACTCACCCGGTTGTGTTTTTGTGTACCCAGTGTATTATTGCCTTTGTGTTGTTAATCTTGTTTGTTCACTCCCCGGAAATGGCTAATTGGTCACAGAGCTCTAAATGTCAGGAAAGCACACCTCTCGGGCTCCTGACACAGCTCCACGTCCAGTCGGTCCATAGGCTCCACGCTTTGTGGTTAGTTTTAAATACAGTGCGTGACTGAGGCACAACTGCAAAAAGATAAAAATTAAGTAAACAAAACAAATTTATTTTCATGTGTACAAAATTATGCAGAGAACAGATCAAAATTATGTGTACAAAATTATGCAGAGAACAGATCACCAATTCAAAATATAGCCAGTATTTGTAAGGATTATGGTAGTGTGAGTTTGTGAAAGACATTTAAAGAAAGCAACACATCTACACTCTTATTCTATTGCTACTGAAGCTGTCTGTTTTTATTCTGTTATTTCATTTTAAAATAATCCCGAATACAGTTCCGCTTCATTAACTTTTAAATAACACCAGACAGTCCACTTCTGATAGCTATAGTGAGAGAAACGAAGTGGAAAGTAACCTCTCGCTCTGCTCCAGGCAACGCCGCGCACACTTCTGGGGGCGGGAGCGATGATCCTCTGTCACTGTACCAGCCCCGCACCCCCTGTGCCGTGACCACAGGAGAAGAGGAACACGAAAGAGGAAACAGCTGTGAGAGCCACGGCCTCCTTTTAATCACGGTTATTGTACAAGCACTGACCACACCTATGAAAGGTCACGAAATTAATTTATGAAGATGGATGTACCTGCAGTTAGCTAGGGAGAATCCACTTTGCAAAGCATTGCCATCGCCGGCCGAGGGCCTGTGGGTGAACAAGGAGTTCAGTGGGGTCTGCAGCAGAGAGAGGAGGGGCTGCTGTCGGGGGTGGGTGGACAGTAATGACCCCATCCTGCTGGTTCTGTCAGACTTCCTGCAAATCGTTCATCATTTTGGCAGTATCATCTAAAGCTGCACACACGTTTTCTACATGGCACCCACTCTGCTTCCAGTGCATACCACATGAAACGTGTACATACTGGTAAGTTCCCCCAAATACTGCAAGGACAGGTTCTCAGGAATGTTATTCGTCAGAACCCCAAACTGGAAATACTCCCAAGGCCCTTCCACGGTGAAAGAGATAGATGCACTGTGGTTCACCCTGGAGTGAAGTTCCACTTTGCCGGGAGCAGGAGTGAACGGCAGCTGCCCACAGTAGCATGAGGAAGCTTCCTGGGCAAAAGGGCGGTGGACACAGGAAGAACCATCGCTGCACACACTGGCCCCCCGCAGCGTGGCCCCAGCCTGTGGTACCCTTGGTAGGTGTCACAGCGTCTAGGAGATGGGGCCTAGAGGCTGCAAGTGGGAGCCCGGGGATGGGTGCGTCCTTGAGGGAGATCTTCCAGTCTCTCCGCTTTCTGGGCACCAGGAGATGACCAGTCTCCCCAGCCACAAGTTCCCATGATACTCTGCATCACCCCAGGCCCAAAGCAACAGAGCCGACTGTCCATGGACTGTCCTCCTTACGTCAGGTACTTTGTTTCAGTAGTGGGAACGCTGAAAAGACGAAAGCCACCCTGGCTGACGGAAGTCAGACTGGAGATTGCCTTTGAAGACCGGCCGGGACAAAAAGATGTTAAGACGCCGGCAATGTCCATGTCCTGGGCCACAGAACAGGTACACATGCTTGCTCCCCCCAGTGAATGCAGTCATGTACTACAAACACGTAGTGGTAAAAAAATTTTAAAATAATCTGCCAAAATGTGTACAGGAATATGTCCCCTTCACAGAAGCACATCACACGCACTTAACTTAACTGAAATTACCAAAGGGTTCGTGCAGGCCTCTATCAGTAATTGCTATACCCACAACACAGCACACTGGGAAGAGCTTCGCTCTGCACGACTCAAAGCCATTTCTCCACCTGTCACGCAGAGCTGCCAGTTGTTTCACTATGGACATTCTGGTGACTCAGTTCCTGCACACAGGGAGATGGAACTTACGTAGCCTCAAATAGTTCCCTACGATCACAATTATGATTGGCATTTAAGGTAACAAAGTATCTGGACTGGATCCACATAGTTAATGTTTTGGTATAGGAAAACCCAGAATGACATCTTCTTTTTCCTAAAATAATTTGAGAAAAAGTAGAGAGGAACAAACTCAGACAACAACTAACTCTAGGGAGATTCCCACCCAGAGTCACCAGTTACCTAATCCTAATTCTGTTTTATGGTATTTAAGTGAACTTTTATTTAGTCACAGACTAGTTTCCTCATAATTTCACATAGGGGGAAGATAATACTCACTTTTTAACATTGGTGTAAACCAAAAGCAAAATAACAAGAGTATCTCACATGGCTAAACTACATCTGCCGATAAAACGTGTTAAATTGTTTATAAAGAATAGTGGCAGGAGCTATAGATGACAACAGTGTACTGACTAAGCCTATTACAACCCAGTGTTTTTAAATTTATGTTTGAAGAAATAATAATAATATGCCAGTGAAGATATGAACAGATTCCTTTCCAAGTACAGGTAAGACTCAGGTTTCAAATACTTTATTGTCATAAACGAACACATATTACTTTACAGTATCTCACAGTTTCTCACCTTGTCTTTAGGGTGACATCATACAGAGAGAAACCAAAAGATGAGTTTCATGGGCAAGGGCAGCCAGATAGTGAGGCAGAAGGCACTGCGTCTTTCTACTTGTCGATCTAAGTTAGCAGCATACAAGGAAAATCACTAACCGCTCCTCCGATGTCAAAACCTCTTCTCTACCTATTGCTTCTTGTTTTTTAATTATGCTATAAAACAAAACACATTGCTAGATACATTTTAGTTGATCCAAAATGCAATTATAGGAACTAGACATTTGTTTTGTTGTTTTTTTTTTTTTTGGTTTTGGTTTTTCTCCGGTACCGGGAACCGAACTCACGACCTTGCGCTTGCCAGGCAGGCGCTTTTGCCGCTGAGCTAAATCCCCAGCCCCGGAACTAGACATTTGAATAGAGTTTGATTTTAGGTGCAAAGTTTGAGAGCTTTTCTTCCTTCAGAAGTATCTTTAAAATTACTTTAATGTAAAGGGACAGTAATGTCAGCTTAGCTCTGTTGTTTCATCTACTATTACTGCTAATGAAGTAAATTGTTTAATGAAATTGAAACTTAATGACCTAAAAACAAGGCAAAATGCAAGGGAAACAGATGTTGTAAAAGAGACATATTACAACATTCTCAAGTATGATTGTTTATGAAATGAAAGCGAAGGTGATGTCTTCCAAAACATTACAATCTTTAGAAAGAACCTGTGCACTTTCCACACTTCTAGATGCGAAAGACTTCAGTAAAACTTCAACTTCTGTAAAGCAAATAACTTGACTGCTTTTGTTGCCTGGGATACATAAGCTACAAGAGTAGTAGTCTGAAACAGAAGAACTTGAAAAAAAGGAAATGATATTACTTTATCATAGATGTACACATTAACTTCAGTGGAGATTTTATTTCACGTAAGTGCAATTTTAGTTATCTTTTAATTATTGATTCGTATGTATTAATTGGAATTGCCCTACACTGAAAATTCCTGAAGCAACTGAAACCATAGGAAAAAAATATATATATATGCATATACAAATGAGAAAATTCTTTCCTTATTGTGAAAAATGTCTCATAACAGATATTAGAGTTAAAATGTTCCAACTTGAAATAAACCAAAGACTTAAATAGTACATGTACCTTATTTTCAGTCCACTTGTATAATATTTAAATTTAGACTTTTAAAATTAATTTCTAGCCAATACATAAATTTGTAATTATTATTTTCATGTATCTAATGCAAGATTTTTTTTTAATTTTCCGTAAGATTAGCTAAAAAGGAGAGGAGCACATTTATATGAAAAGGGAAGATGAATCCTGAGATTTCTCACAAATGTCTTAATGTCCTACAGATGTGGGTACACTTTTCATAGTAAATCGAGGAATACCACTTACTGCCCTCTGAACTCTGCACTTTCCCCAAGACAAGAAATACAATCGCATCACTTGACACAGAGTCCTCGTGAAGTCTTCCTACTTCTAACTTTCTGACTGCAGGCTCTGATTCTCGTAACTCACGTGACATGCTTTGGCTGTGGTTGTCTGTTAAATTTCCTGTTTGGGACCAGATTCTGCAAACCAAAACAAATAGCTCAAGAGAAGTCTATGGTGACTACTTTTTTCCCCTCTTGGCATTTCCACTTAAGGGTTTTCCTTTTAGAGGTGCAGAGAAAGGCAGGGAAAGAGTCACAAGCGTGGAGCACTTGGGTCACAGCAGTTTCAGGGCACCAAAAAAGGTGCCGTCTCCGTCGCGAGAGATCTGTGCGTTTTCTCTTGGTATCGCAAGTTGGAGCTCATCTCCCTCTTCTAGCTTCGCAATGCCTGGCAAAGAAGGGTTTACAAGAGCTTTAAGTGGTTGTTCAGCAGGAAAGGGAAGACAGTAATAATCTTAAAGCAAATGGTCTTTCTTTGGAAACAAGGTTAACAGAGACATTCACATTTAAGGATGCACTAGTAGACTTCTAAGCCAGGCACAGATCTGTTAGCCTTGAACATGACATGACATGACATGACACGAAATAAAATAAAATTAAATAAATAAACAGGAGGAGACACAACAAATACAATGGCGTTAGCACCCACTACTCATAAAGTATATACTGTGTAAAAGACCCAAATATCAAGCTGAGTATGTCAAAGGTATGTCAAGCTGAGTATATCAAATCAGAGTATGTTCCTTGACAGATTATCACATAGTTCAAGGTGGGCTTTGCTTAATTTTATTAACAATGGGAACTTCTTACGATAATGTTCAATAACAATGCAAAACACCACACATGTATGTATACTGAACAGTCTCGATTTTGCTTTAAATATGCAAATTAAAGTATAAAAATTAAAAAGAAAAAATCAGAGAAAGAAAACCAAACGCTTTACTAACAAAGCACATTTAATATTGCTTTTCTCTAAACTCTCAACTATGAGTTTAAGGGTCATTTAGATCACTTTTTACATCTATATTTTAGGTTTTCTCAAATGACCATGTTTACCTTTATAACAAAAGCAACAAAGCAGTTAGCTCCTTACACATGACAACCACATCAGTGTGCGCCTGATGCACAGCGAGGTATTCTGTGAATGGAGGGAACAAAGCACAGTTCACAGACTTCTTTTACTGTATGGGTAATTGCTGGCCACACTCCAAAAGAAAAATATGAAGGAGAAAAAGAGGAAGAGCAAGGGGTGGAGAAGAAACGAAGAAGTTAACGAACAAAGTGAGTAGTGACTAACAATTTAGGAAGCAGTCACATTGTTTCACCAGCAGTAAAAACATTTACTTATGCAAGGGTGTTAATGTCTGCTATGTCCTAAAGCCCAACACACCTGCAACAGGCAGGGTTTATCGATTAAATATTTATCATGTTCCAGTCAGCCATCGAGGCAGGCATGGACCGGTGATCAGGAATGGCAAAGTTGCTGTCCTAAAGTCTTGTTTTTTGCAGTGGGCCCGGATAGACAAGCCCTACCTTTGTGGATATCGTTTAGAGTAATATATACTTTTTGTAGAGATGGCAAAGCATTTGAGGATTGACAGCCTTACATAGCTTGAAAAACAACATTTTTGTAAAAAGCTCAGGATTTGTTTATTGAATAGATTTGCCATTATCAGAGAGATTGAAAGGGATCTAATATTTTGGAAAAGGAGCTCTAAGAGATATTAATTTCTTAAGAGGTCACAGAGCATTGAGAAATATTAGCTCTTGAGACGAAGTGGCTTTGAGCAGCACTAACTTCAATGTAAAATTCCAACCCCGAGCCACTGCTTATTTCAGCTATGCCAGACTACAGTATCAGCTCTAACTTCTTTTCACAATAGGCATATTCACAATTTATTAATGGACAAAAGAGTAATATTTAACTTTGATATAAAACTGGTTCCTTAGTACTTGGTGGTCTTCTTAAATCGACTATTTTTTAAGGCTACTATGGAAGTACTTTTTGCACTTACATACCAGCAGATAGTTTTTAGCAGCTTTAAACAAATTTTCCCTAAAATAGATTAAAAACTGGAAGCCTGAAACTTCTTGGAGGATGCTTACATGCACCCCACTGAGTTACAAGTATTGAGTAATAGCTGTGAAGTCAAGGTAATTATTCTCACAAAGTGAGACACCTGAGAACTTGGCTGAGCACTCTCATAGGAAGGAAATGGAGAGGAGCAGAGGATTAGAAAAAAATTTTTAAGTTAGTCCTAAATCACTATGTGCTAACGCACACTAATGAAGAATAGATGGGTGTGGCCTCGCCATTTATAAATATTTTGCAATATCAAACTGCTGATCAGCACTGGCCACAGAGAAAATTTCTTTATGAAAATTAGGGGATTCCAATGTGCTAGACTTCCTCATACTCTGGTGAAATTATTTAGGGTTTCAAACCCAGAATGACATCACCTCTGCTTGTACTAACTATTTGCCTTGGTTTCTAACTGATTTACTGGGTGCTTGTTTGTAAACTCTGGGATACTTAAAAAGTATTTCCCAACCCTTCGTTCCACATTGCCATTCATGGCAAGTAAGACCTGAAGACAGTTCCTGAAACTTCTAAAAAGATTTGTCAAAATCACCAGAGACAAGAACACACAATCAAGGTGAAAAATACACCCACCTGTATGTTCAAGTTACCCTATTTCCTAAAACCAGCCTTGATTAACTTGAAATTACTCCCTTCACCCCAACCCTCATGAAGAAAATCCTAGCAGTCACAGCCCCAAAAGGGTTGGGAATTGACAGTCTGAAATCTCTTCGCCACTTCTCTGCTTCTGAGCTCAGAGGCAGAGCTCTCAACTGTCATCCCCCAGCCACCTGTCCCAGGCTCGCAGGCGCCCCTGAGCCCTGCGGCACTCCCCTGCTCCCGGGCACGCCGGGGTCACTTCCTCTGCAGTGTGCAGTGTGGGTGGCTGACACCTCGGAGCCAGACTGGCTGGCTTAACCCTCGTGGCTGTGCAGCTTGGGACGATCGTGTCACCTGCCTCCTGTCAGACTCCACCTCCCTAAATGGTAAGGTTCAATGGGGGGGGGGCATGCAAGGGGGCCTGGAAAGTAATGGTGACTGTAAAAGACTGAGGGGAAACACCTCAGAGAACGGGTCCCAGGGAGGAACCCGAGGAAGCTACTCCCCTTCCACGTGAGTGTCCGAGTGGTTAACGATGATTTCGGCGGTCTCAGCACAGACACCAGCTGTCGTTCAACATGACCGAAACGGCCCCGGATCCCCAAGCGCGGGTCTCCAGCCGTCCTTCGGCCCAGCCCCCCGTCCTCCCTGCCGCTGCCTCTGCAGCTCTGACCTCTCAGCACAGCCTGTGTTCCCCGGCAAGCAGATCTGAGAAGGGTGATTTACCAGCTGAGTAGCAGGAATTGTTGGGCAGTGTTTCAGGCATGTTCTGAATGCAGCGGAACAGAGTCACCAGACTCAGCTCGTCCCCAAAGACGTGGACTTTTTTCCTCTGTATTAGGTGTCCCATGGCGAAAGTGTTATCCGTGTACAGAACCTGGGAAAGAAACCAGAGAGCACTGTCAGGAGCGTGTGCAGCAGGGGAGGCCTCGGCGCGGAAGCGGAGCTACGTTGGAGCCTACCTGACCATAGATAAAGAAGTAACCGGGTTCCTTCACCACTATTTTATTCTCTTTCTCCTCCAAGGCTCTTCCTCTTTTAAAGCTGAGAAGCCACGGTACAAAGGTGTATGATCCTACACAGAAGAGAATTGCTTGTGAGAAAGGAAACCGAGAAGAGTAGTTTTCACATTTCTTCATCGCCAACCGGAATCTGTGATTTACAGGAAACTTCCATCCCTTGAAAGTAAAGAAGAGGATGAAGGAAAAGTCACGGGGCTCCGGCGGATCCTCGGCGATCACGTGTACATTGACCTGCCGAACCATGACGCGCCACGTGAGCGTCTCAGTTTTCTTCGTTGTTCTTTGTTTCATTTATTTCACAATAAAAGAGGGTCTGGTTGCAGAATGGACAGCGGTTCTGTAACTCTCTAGCAGAGGCTTTGCACTGGTTCTTCTAGAGGAGAGAATGGTCGTGTGAAGAAGAGGTCAGCGAAAGGAGTCAGGAAGAAGCGAGCCCCCACCCCACAGCCTGGCGATGGGCAGGGAGCAGGAGAGTGAGGGGCCCCGCTGAGATGCAAGCGTCCCCGGACAGCGGCCTGTACTCTTCACGTTCCTAGAATCCTCCTCCATCAGCCCTGGAAGTCACTTGGGAAGCGACAGAAAGATGCACACCGAGAGCTGGGTGGAGGGGCAGACAGAAAACAGCAGCCACAGCGGGAGCGAGCAAAGGCTACCCACAGGGCGAGCCGGAATCAAGCGGGTGCGCCTGGAGCCCACAACCCACTGTGAGAGTACACGCTCCCGTCCTGCAAACTCGGTGTGAGCTCGCTGGATTCCCCCAGGCGTAAACTCTCGGGCTGAGGCAAACCTTAAGACGGTAGCCTGGGGAATCTCAGTAGGTACAAATAAAAGGGTGTAAAATAATTGAATAGAAGGTTAGAGAAACAGCAGTATAAGGGTAAAGTAGTAAAACATGGAGGTGGCAGTCTAAAGCCATGTGGTTTTTCCTATTTTTTAATTATCAGTGCATGTTTGCAGTACGTAGTGATTACAGGCACCACGGGGAGCTGGTGCACGGATGCAGCACATCTGCGTGCTGTCTGCGTCCTCTCCCCTCCCTGCCTTCCCCTTCCTTTCCATCCCTTGCTCTCCTTCACTTCTGCAGAAGATCCATCCCCTGTTTCATCATGTTTAAAGGGTTCCTAGATAATTCATAGTGGGGAGCAGAATGCATGTTCAGATTTTACCTTGGTCATGCAGAGATGGAACAAAGGTAATAATAAAGTGCAGATTCGCAATGCTCAAGCAAAGAACAGCTTTTCCTGGGATGAGCTTTAAAGACAGTGTGTCCAGGACTCCCAGGAGCGGGCGCCGCAGGGGGCGGGGGCTGCTGAGTTCTTGCATCCCATATTCACGATGCCGCAGCCAGGCCTGCTGCAGGCAGTGTCTCCAAGGCAAACCACTCACATTTGAACTTTTCCCAAGTGAGATTCAGTTCCTTTTATTCTTAATTGACAGTTAAAATTCTATACATTTACTGCATACCACACAATGTTTGTAAATGTATATGCACGTGGGACGGGCAAATCAAAGTGATTAACACATTCATTGTCCCATACGGTGTTATTTTTGTAGTGAGAATACTTTAAAAGACTCATTTCTTAGCATTTTCAAGAACAGAATCCGTGGTTCTCGTGGATTATATAGCCACACTGTGCGACAGATCTCTCGTGTACGTTTCTCCTACCTAACTGAAATGTACCTTTAGCCCATATTCCCTCAATCCCCAGCCCTCAGCCCCAGTAGGTACCACTCTCTCTTGGAGGGCTGGAGAGTGTCCCGTGGAGAGTCTACCTTGTCATTGTTACGCATTTTTCTGTTGACAGACCCCTAGATTGGTTCCATATCTTGGCATCTGTGAATAATGTTTCAGTGACACAGGGTTGTGAAGATCTTTTTGGTGCAATGATTTCATTTCCTTTGGACAGACACCCAGAAGCAGAGGGAGGATGTTTGGCGGATGTGTGGAGAACCCATTCTTCAGTGTGGCCCGGCTCTGTGCCCACTCCAGAGAGCCCTCCATCAACAGCTCCCCGATGAGGCAGGTCTGGACACCTTACTTTGCTTTAAACCCACAGAGGGGTTCTCAGCCCTCTTCCTGAAGTACAAATTCCCCCAGGGTTGTGCTGGATGATAACAGCAAACAAAACACAGCACTTCCCTTACAAAAACAAGGGCAAAATCATCTTCACCTCTTTGTCAGCAAAGACAATCTTTTGGTAAAAAGATTGTAATGAAAGTCTTTAATTTTATTAAATGAGATGGTGTCTCCAAAGCAGTTTTAAATACTGCGTGCTGAAAAACATGAGGAAGAATTAACATGATGATCACTTATTCTAAAATACAAACTAATGACATTAAAGGTGACTGTGTCCGTGTGTTAGCAATATTGACTTGATATGCAGATCAAGGAGAGCCTCTTCCCCTCCGAACAGACATCCTCTCACTTCTCTGAGCTGAGGGACTCTTTATGTGTGCTTCCCTGCCATTTCCCCAGGGCTTAAAGTGATTACTAGCTCACAGTAGATGCGAAGCAAATATTTACTAAGTTAACTGACTCAACTATAAACATAAAATAATTCAAAATGATATGTGTACTATGACAATTAGTCACAAGAATTCAGCTGTTCTTTTAAAAGCATTTTTGCTACCTACTGACTTAAATTCTGAAAAATCAAACACAATCATCAAATCTCAAGCTAGTACATACTCCTAAAGTAAAGGAAAACATATATTTCTAGAAGTATTTGTTTATATCCAATTCTAAAAATATTTGCCTGGACTAGCTGCTGATTAGATTTCTTTTGCAATAATTTAAATTTATTTCCTGTTCCTTGACTCCATAATTATTTTCTTCTGACATTTTATCATCTCTTTCTGGTAATATTCTCACCACGAAAATAGGGTACATGCTTATCTTTTTATTTACTGTCCATATTCTTCTTCTGCTGTGCACCCACATTCACCATTGAGACACACACACACAAACACACACAGACACACGCACACACACATGATTATACTCCACAAGTTCAGAGAGTTTGCTACAGTTATAGGTGTGTTTGACAATGCCAATAATACATCCTAGCACTAAATAAATATGTGCTGATGAATAGATCCTAAATCCTTTAAGAAAATACACTAAAGAAAATATTAAAACCAATGTAATTATAAACTTTAGCATAAATATTCTAATGTATTTCTATGTCTTAAAATGCACTTTGGCTTTTAGTGTGTTAGACAATAGACAAGTGCAAATAATAAAATATGCATCAATGCCTGAACTGTAGAGTGTTTCTCTAAAATAACAGACATCTTTTCTTCTGGAAGATATTTAGGAATTTGGAACTAAACTCCTGGACTGTAAATACTTATTGTCAGTAAAACAGATAAAATGCTGATGTACCTTCATATAAAGGGTTTGGAATTTCTAGCTTCACTCAGATTTAAATCTTTGACATAGTTCAATGTTTTCAAAATTTTTAAGACAGTAAAATATACATGTGAAATTAAAAATCCAGTGTTCATCTGTGAATATAATATGCATGTATTTGTAAACATGTCTTGCCTTGACAGGGTACTATCTTTCCTCTTCTAATATCTACTGAAGAATTATAAATACTACATTTTGGGGTGCAGGTTTCTAAACATACATTTAATTAATATTAATATTATTTTTACTCTAGTTCTGGATGGGAGGTTCCCCCTAACACATTCACACTCCTGGGTTAACTGCACACAGCAGGGGTCTCTCAGGGCTATTTATCGCATTGATTTGCTTCTCTTGGTTTCCGTTTATTATCTTAAAAATGCTTGAAATAGTTTTAAGAAAGAAAATACTGGGGGGATATAGCTCAGCAGCACAGTGCCTGCCTGGCAAGTGCAAGGTCGTGAGTTCAATTCCTCATACAAGAAAAAAAGAAAAAAAGAAAGAAAGGAACTACCTAATATTGGTAATACCTTTCTTCAAGGTAGATTAAATAAATCAGTTCAGCAAATAAGGTTTGGGGCCAGGTCCACCTGGAGACCTGAAGCGCCAGCATGGCTACCGTGGGCTTAGAGAGTGGAAGAAGCAGTCACATCTAAACTGGAGCTACCTGGCTGCCCAGAGAGAGCAGCTTCACACCGGGGTGCAGAGGTGCACTGTGAGTGCAGAGGAGGAGATGAACGGGATACGCTGAGGAAGAAGAAGTGGCAGTTCTCAGATCAGTCTGCTGAGTCAGAAAACATGAAGAACAGGACCCGGAGTTCTGGAACAAACCCCCACAACAGGGGGCACTGGAGGGTGGGCAGAACGGGGGCCACGAGCAAGAGCTTAGGCTGTGACACCCCAAGGTATTCAAGGAGAGATGCTCAGGGGACAGAGCTCGGCATGCAGGGGCTCAGAGAGGGATGGCGGTAACATGGGCTCAGGCAGAGGTCAGGAGACACCGCAGGAAGACTGCAGAGCGCTGAAGCCGGAGGACGGGGGGTGCCGGAGGTGTGAAAATCAAGATTTAGAGTGTGCAGCTAGGAGTCATTTGCACGTCTAGCCAACAGTACAGGAAAATGGGCCAGAGAAACAACCCATAGAAGAAGGCACCGCTGAGAGAAGGGAAACATTGAATGTCAAATTCTGAGACATTAAAAGTAAAGTTCACAACAACCTCCATGAACTAACAATACTGAAACAGCAAACAAGAGACATCAGCATGACTGTGGAAATTACCTCTCTCCCCCTCTACCTCCTGAAAGTGATGTCAGAGAAACAGACACACGTTCTCCAAGACATCCTTGCTGGCTGTGAGAGTGTCTGGAATCACACTAGGTGAGTGAAGCGTAAAAGCGTAAAAATGTGGAAGGGCTCACCAGTGGCAGCCTCACAACTGTTTGATGAAAACCAACTCCAAACGGTGAAGAAAGCACCAAAGCCCCTGCCCTACCTCATCTCGAATACTCACATACCCACAATCCAGGAATTTTCAGAATCAGCTCGGGGAATCTGAGAAATTGTAAGAGCGAGAAAAAACTCATTCAATTAAAATAAAAGGAACTTCAAGAGGCTGTGTCCAAAACAAAATGAGATGGAAATAAA